GAATCCTTGTGGAGGATGTTAAGAGAAAGTGAAAGAGCCAAGGAAAAAGCATAGAGGAGAGCAGAGGGAGCAGGAGGGAACAGCAAGCTCGCCAACAGAGGAGTTAAAGTGAGTGTGGAGACAGCAAAGTCGAAGACAGAAAGTTGAAGAAGGAAACGAGTTCAGTCTCAGAGGTGTCTGAGAGATCAAGAAGGATGAGCATGAAAAAGAGGCCGTCAGATTTGCCCCAGAGAGCGAGGCTTTGGTCCTGGCCATCTGGACACATTATCCAATTTTCCATTTTCTTTGTCACTGCTCCTCTCTCTGGCATAAAGAATCGAAAGTTGACTCTAAAGACACAGTCAACACTGCTGCATATCAGCTTAGTCTCTTCCCTCTGTTTTATGGCCCATTGTCTTGTTTGTCTCTCGAACTTGGATTGTGAAACCAAAGTTTGAACCACATTGACTCTTAAGCTCTATAAAATTCTGAGTACCTATTGTCTAAATGACATGAAGTGGGCATTGCCAAGTTAGGTATTTTTCCAAGGTGCAATGTTGGTTATTATAATTTCAGCCCAATAAAGGTGTGAATAAAATGTTTCTTTTCAGAACAGAACTTTAGTTTTCTGGGAAGCACTTTTTATCATAAATGTACAAGCACCTCTTTAGGAATAAATGCCAAATGATCTGTCCAGAAGTGGCCATTTACTTCAAATCAGTGAATAGCCTCTTTTCACCTGTCTTACTTTACAATGAGTTTCATTATCTATCAGGCCATTGCTGTCTGCTTTCTTACCTAAGTGGAAACATGCACCTAAAAACACAAAAGGGCACAGAATTTAAAAGTCACCTGTCTTCCAGCAAAGATAATAGTCACCATTTGCCCAGCCTGTGTCTTTGCCAGCTCTATAGCTCTCCTCTGTGGCTGGCATAATGTTTTGTTCCAACTGGGTAGATTGCCAGATGTCCATGTGGTGTGTTTTACTGTTAGAAGTAGATTTACTGGGAGGCTAATGAGGGTTAAGCTCACACAGGCCCTATCCGTATCACATGTTATAAAATTTGCAAAAGTGAGATATTTTAACAACAATCAGCTCTGAGCTCTTTCTTTTTCCACCTTGACTTTCCACCCTCCATCGTATTTTCCCTCCTTGTCTGTTGGTGTTGGGGCCCTGGGTATCTTTGGAATCCAGGCAAGAGAAACTTAAGTTTGGGCATCATTTAGTTTGAGATGGCACTTCCATGTTATTGCTAGCTATTCTTGTGAAGGAATGGCTTCGAGGAATCTCCCACCACCCATTTCTAGGCCAACTCCCCCAGGGTCATGACAGAGAGAAGGTTATACTGTGATGTGAATGTGTCCTAGAGAGTCTGGCACCAGAAGTGTGCAGGTGGCACACCAAAACAAATCTCACAGCTCCTGTGGGAAAGAAACTTAGCAGTGATTTCCCCTAATTTGACAACAATCCTGAAATATAAACAGTAATGAGTTGTGATGCTGAGAGAAACTGTTCTAAGCTGACAATAATAAAAAAAAAGGCAAATTTCAATTAAACATGTTAACAGGAAGACAATTATTTTTTATGTCTCTCTATTGAAAAAGATACTACAAAATAGCCATCATATGAAGTGGCCATCAAAGAGTTTGCAGCAAAATAAATGTAGGAAGAACATATCATAGAGGTGGGTCCATAATTAATAAAAATAGTGTATTATTTATATCATTTTTCTGTAATTTGTGATTCAAGTAGGACCGGCTTCATGTGTAGATACTCTGTGCAGTCACATAGGGCCCTACACTCAGAAGGGCCCAGAGCTTGGTTTAATGCTGCTGTTGTCATCTTGAAATTCTTCATTTTTTATGAAGGGACTGTGGAGTGTCATTTTGCACTGGGCCCTGCAAATTATGTAGCTGGTCCTCACAACAGCCTCTCTGCTGCTGGTGAGAGCAGACAAGAATTAGTGCAGCAATTGAATAGAGAAATGACAAGCCCTAGATGCAAAAGTATTTCTCAACTTTTAAAAATTTGTAATTCCTGTGATTTCTCGTTCTCAATAAGCACTTTCATACTTATTATTGATTTCATAAATGGGTTTCTTTTCCTTAAAGAACACCCCCCCCTGGCCAAATTGTGTAAGTGTCGGACCCCCCAAGATCTCTCCCGTGGTATGTGTCCTTCAGGCTTTAGTTATCCAGACTGGATAACAGCTGGTCAGTTATTCAGACTCAATTCCTGCCGTCTGTCCAACTTGTGATCATTTCTCAGCTTTTTTGCTTGTACTTTCAGCAGAGGCTGGGAAGATGTGGTGGGAGAAAAAACACAAGCTGACCGATTCTCATTTGTTAACAGCTCCAGAAATCAAATAGGAAGTGAGGAAGTTGAAAAGAAGGGGTTTCGATATTGTTTGCCACTTTCTTTTTGAGGAGGCTGGCCCTATACCCTCACTTCCAAGCTCCACTGCTGAAGGGAGGTGTGTTTATTTGTCTAATAATATCCTGATCTTGTCTTGCCTACGGAGCTCCTTTCAAGTTACAGGAGGACATTTCTAAGTTGTGAATTTCCCTTGCTCTTTTCCTTCACTCTGCTGTGAGCTTGTTATGGTTGGGAAGCTGGAGACAGTAGCCAGCTCATTAATTCAGCTTTAGAAAGGGGTGTATGTGGGTGAGCAGAGCCAAAGCTTAGATCTGTGTGACCTTTCTCACACACGTCGTTCTCTCCGTCGACGGGAGTGACAGCCCCTAAATTCAATCTCACTTTGGTACAGTGCTCTCCTACCAGTCTGTTTTAAGGATGAATTCACACACATTTTTCACTTTTATTAAAAGGCACAATTGTTTTTCTTAAGCTGGTAAATTCTAAAAGCACTCATTCCTTTGGATAATGTGATGGATTGTTTCTTAACATGCACAGTGGTTCTTCACCAGTATTTACCACGGTTAGTGTATTCAAAATAAAAGAATGTGTGAAACAGTGATTAAACTCTAATTTTCTTTATGAAATTGACAACCCATAAATCCTAAAGAATTTGGGAGAAAGCTAGCTAATGGTATAGGGAGTTTCTTCAATATATTAATTATCATTTTTTAGATGAGGTTTGAAATTAGATTCAGATTGCAAATCACAACTTTGTATGGGCTCCCCATGGCTAGCTGGTGAAATCTTCTGGCTTCTGGGGATGAAGCAATTTGGCTTCTGTAATAGGACGACGAGAACCTATTTCCCTGGTAGAATAACAGGTCTGCAGCCTGAGATCCAGGAATCCAACATTTGCTCTTTGACTGGGTCACCAGTAGGACACATTAAATGCAAAGAAAACAGGCCTGGAAAAGCAGCGATCCGCCTGTGCATTTTAAATCTATTCTAAAGCAAACTCATTTTACTTGGTTCCTCAGATGTGGCTCACAAAATTGTATTTTCCTTTCTATAAAAAGAATTAACTTTCTAATGATTTCAAGGCATGTAAGATATAGATATAGGTATACGTGTAACCAGACAACCAAGGGGTCTGGGCTGCCTGTCACTACTTTAGTCAATTAAGCAGAAACAGGGTTGAATCATATATGAGTGTTTATTCCAATACTGCCGGCAGTATGGGAGAGCAGCAGGTCATCCACAAAAATCTGCTCTACACCCCACCATAAGCCAGCTGCTTATATTGGGTAGAAAGACAAAGATTACGTGGGAAAGTAGGAATTACGGGTATGAGAAAGTGGGTACTGGATAATCATTACAGGTTACAAGTCATGCAGGTTGGGGGTGGGGGGGTTACAGAGGGTGGGGGCCCCAGGCGCCCAAGGACCAGATTACAGTTAATAGGGGCTGGGGTTTGTAAAGAGCAGGTGCTTCCAGGACTAGAATGTCTCAGCCATGAGGCTGTAAATCTTTTCATAATGATAGGCAGTTCTCAGGACAGGGGGATGGGCTGCATTCCAGTGGTTAGCTCCCACGTCCCAGGGCATACAACTCCCAGCCGAGTGAAAATGTGCTTTCTAATCAGAACAGAAGCATCATGGTTAACAGAACATGATTAATATCTATAATAATAAAAGTACAATATGCTAATTAGACCGGACGACTGAACAGTGGAACGACATTCCAGACAAAGCTGGGGCTGTGGCGGTTGCGAGGGCCCAAGCAGCCGGGGCTGCAAGGGCCAAGCCCCTTGCACAAATTTTCGTGCATTGGGCCTCTAGTTACTTATCATTATACTTAGTTTTCAATATTCTGTTTCTGCCTCTAACAGATGTAGATGAAGATGTAGAGGTAGAGGTAGAGGTAGAGGTAGAGGTAGAGGTAGAGGTAGAGGTAGGTGTAGGTGTAGATGCAAGTGTAGGTGTAGATATAGATGTAGATAAATATGTAGATGCAGGTAAATGTAAATGTAAATGTACACACACAGTGACACTCCTCAGACCCCAGCCACACAGAGGTTCCAGTGGATTCTTTTTCCAGGTTTAAAGTGAAGGTTTTGATGACAAAACATGGGGTGATGAATTGCTATGGATGCACCTTATTTGACCTTTAGGCATAAAATTAAAGCTATGCCTAACAGGACACAGCTTCCACCTTTACAAGTTAAATATATACTGGTTGACTGCCTGACTTCACACTCAATTATCAACTTCTCTCTCCACAGGGGAGATTTCCCCAATGGAGATTGTTGATTAAGTCATGGCATCTAGTTTTCAAATATACCTCCTTGCTCAGTTTCTTGGAACTTCCTACACAGTTTCAATTAATTTTACTGCTTCTTTTGGTTACTTGAAAGGGGTGGGGGTGGGGACATGAGGGATGCAAAAAAGAGAATAGAATTTTGTAACAGCTTATCAAAATTATTTTGCCTCATGGGGTTTTCTGTTGCCCTTTCTGCTGTGTCTTTGAGTGTTTGGAAGCAATTTATGTCGCGCTAAGACTGTTTTTCTTTCCAAAGTTCCTACATTTGAAATTCAAATCTCAACTGTCAGCAGGCTCTTTGCTCCAACTGTGCCTTTTCATAAGGCCCTTAGCAGGATCCCTTATGGCATATTCCTCAAACCAGAAGCTTCCATACTCCAAAAGCCCAGAAGACTCCTATTCTAGCCGGTAAGTAGAGAGAGGTTTAAAACAGTGGGCTAATCCTTCTTGCTTTCATTTGGCAGTTCCCACTGAGAGTTCTTTGCCTCAAATTCAGGTCATATCTTCTGTGGCTTCACACACCTCTTATGGCTTCATACTCTGCTCTGGTTTTGTCTTGTTCATTCCTGTGCCTGGGTTGACAGTGACTAGCTAGAATGAGGACTCAAGCCTAGTAACTACGAAGGAAATATTTCTCATCTCTCTCTTTTTTTTTTTATCTTTTGACATAAGGTAGACAATACTTTCTAAGAATAAAAAAACATGAGATTTCTAAATCTTAAGTAATCACAACTTTAATCAAACTTACCAACCTATGTTATTATGTTTGTATAGTCTCTTGAACTATTCAACTTTGTATAAGACTAGAATTTTCTTTTTCTTACCTTTGCTCATCCAAATGGATGCTATTTTACTACATTCTTCAGGCAAGAAGGCCTGGGAAAGAAGCATCAGAATGGCCATATGGCAGGGGCACAAAGTGTAGAGGTTTTTGTGCCACATGTTGACACACCCCAGAGAGAAGAGGCAGTAAATAACTACAAATACAAAATGACCCAGCCCATGACACCATCAACCACCTCAGAACTGGCATTATTGGCCATAAATGGAGTGGAAGATGCATGTGGGCCCAATAGACTTTCACTTACCAAAGTCATTCTAGTTATTGCTGCCTCTGAATGCCCAACCTGCTAGCAACAGAAACCAATTTGAGCCCCCAATATGGTTTATCCCTCAAAGAGACCAACTGGCCACTCAGTGGCAAGTTGACTACTTTGGACCCCTTCCATCCTGGAATTGCCTGTGGTTTGCCCTCACAGGGATAACCACCTATTATATGCATGGTTTTGCCTTTCCTGTCCTGAGAATCACAGGCTTGGGAACCACACAACATGGTATCCAATTATGGGCAAGCTTAAGGAAAATGTTGAGGGAAAGTGTTGCCACCCTGAGGGACACAATCATGCATAATTTTTGTACCAAAGCAGGATATTCTGGCAGAAAAATGTATTCTAAATGTTTTCTTCACTTTCCCTTCAATTTCATGCTGCTTCTCCCCACCCACCCTATTCCCATTGCCTGAATCCAACCTGGTGATACCATACCAAACAGTTAACCTCCTGTGACATATATTAAGGCACAGAAAGCAGAAAATAAATCGTGAAGGATGGGTAAATGGAGACTATTGCACACTTACCTTCTTGACAATGAAATAGGGGTGTATGCCCATCACCACTGGCTATAGCACACACCAGACCATCGAGAAGCAACCAGCCTCAAAGAGAACAAGAATGACATTTTAAGGACAAGGCTAAAGTGCCAGCTCAGAGGCAGCACTCTGAAAGTTGGGGTATCGATCCTTCATGGTGCAGTAGATACATTAAATCAGAGGCCTCCATATGGCACTATGTCCTCACAGGAAGAATACATGGGTCAGGGAACCAACTGAAGGGTAATTCTTCCTTGCACTGTTATATTATGAACTAGATGCCCAGTGCACAAAATTCCTTGCACCATTGTATTATGAACTAGAGGCCCGGTGCATTGAGAGGGAGGATCAGGCCTAAGCTGGCAGACGGACATCCCTCTCACAGTCTGGGATCCCTCACTCTTTACCACCCGACTGCTCGCAGCTCCTTACCACTCAGCTCGCTGTGTCTGCCCCTTGGTGAAGAGGGACCATGGGAGGCTCCAGGGTGTGTCTGGCCCATCATCTAGCTCAGTCCCGATTGATCAGCTGGACCCCAGCAGCAAGCTAACCTATGGGTCAGAGCATCTGCCCCCTTGTGGTCAGTGCACATCATAGCGAGTGGTTGAGTGGCCTTAGCATATCATTAGCATATTATGCTTTGATTGGTTGAAAGGCCAACTGGATGAACGAACACAGCATATTAGGCTTTTATTATATAGGATGCACTTGTGCGGTGATCCTGGTCTGAGAAGGGTATGATCACCAAGGGCTCAGATCCCTCAGGAATGAAGGTTTGAATCACACCTTCCAAAGGTAAGCCACCAGTTGGGACCTGCTGAGATGACAGCTGAGGATGATGGGAATTTATAATGGATAGGAGTGGGGGATGAGTACCAGATGTGGCCCTGAGGCCAACTGCAGTGACAGGGACTTATTCTGGTCTATCTTTAAGAGATAACCTGCTCCTCTTAAGTCTCTGCTGGGTAGAAAAGTAGATCTGGGCAGAGCAAAGGGTAGACTGTGCTGGCCATGAAAGGGAGCTTTTGGGATATTTTGCTGCAGAGAGAGTGCTTAATTGGCCGTCCCAGATGCTGCACACACTTTTGCCTAGGCCACCCTTGCCTGGGTTGCTGCACCCAGCTAAGGACTGAGCCCAGCTGCTGTACTACAGCAGCATCTGCCTGTGAGATGCAGAACTCTTTTAATGGGCACATCTTTACTGGAACCTCACCTCAGTGTAAAATTCTTCCTACCCAATCTAACTTCCTTCCTCTGCTCCCTCATGGGGTCTGACCTGAATCAGTCTAAAAACATCACTCCCTAAGGCCTTTCCTGAATGCAATAGTTGTTTGTTTTGCTCAGTAATTTGTCTTGGTTCACATCCTTCAAGAAGCAGGTGTGCCTTGGCTGGTTTGGCTCAGTGATTAGAGCGTCAGCCTGCGGACCAAAAGGTCATATGTTCTATTCCCAGTTAAGAGCACATACCTCAGTTGCAGGTTCAATCCCTGGCCTAATCAGGATGCTTGCAGGAGGCAACCAATCAATGTGTCTCTCTCATAGCGATGTCTCTACCTCCCCCCCCTCCTTTCTCCCCTCCACTCTCTCTTAAAAAAAAAATCAATGGAAAAATACCCTCAGGTTAAGATTAAATAAATAAATAAATAAGCAGATGCTAAAATGAGATCAGACATGCATAGATATATTAGGGGTACCACACATAAAGGATAAAGGGGAGGGAGGTGATTGAATGATGGCTTCACTGGTGGGCCCCAAAAGAATATGTCCATGTCTCAGAACATTTGAAATAAGGGTCTTTGCAGATGTAATTAAGTTAAGGATCTGAAATGACATTGCCCTACATCAGTGATGGCAAACCTATGACACGCGTGTCAGAGGTGACACAAGAACTCGTTTTTTTGGTTGATTTTTCTTTTTTTTTTTTAATTAAATCTTTATTGTTCAGATTATTACATTGGTTCCTCTTTTTTCCCAACAAAACTCCCCTATATCAAAAAATGTCTATATGTGACACGGCACCAGAGTTAAGTTAGGGTTTTTCAAAATGCTGACACGCCGAGCTCAAAAGGTTCGCCATCACTGCCCTACATTATCCTGGTTATTCCTAACTAAATTCAATGACAGGTATCTTTATAAGAGAAATAAAAAGGGATTTGAGGGAGAGAGAAGGAGAAGGGCATGTGAAGACAAAGGCAAAGATTAGAATTATGTAGCCCCAAACCAGGGACCTGGTGGAGCCATCAGAAGGTGACAGAAACAAGGGAAGATTGTCCCCCTAGTGCCTTAGGAGGGGGCACAGCTCTGCTGACACCTTGATTTCAGACGTTCAGCCACCAGATCTGTGAGACAATAAATTTCTATTGTTTGAGGCCACCACCTTTGTGGTAGTTTGTTACAGGAGCCCTAGGAAATGAATACAAGTGGGGAGAACCTTTGGACCACAATGCAGGTCAAACTGCATGAAGAAGACAGGCAGGAAGAATTGGGTAGAAGAATCACTGACTTCAGTGCAGATCCAGGAAAGTTTTTGCTAAGCCAGTAGGGAGTCCTCACTCTCACTGAAGTTGTCTCCCTTTCTCCTTCATGGGCAGCGGTTCCACCAGTGAACCAATACACACAATATTGAGCCAAACAGGCTAGCCGCAAAAGGAAGTATGCAGTTGTATTTTTTTCATCTATAGCTCAAATACAGGCAAAGAATTCTCTGTTGTTTATGAATGTCCACAGAAGTGGTATAACCATAAAAAGAGCAAGATACCAATTATCACAGAAATGATGAAAGCAGTTACCTTAGGAGCAGGGGCTACAATTAGGAGAGGTACAGGGAGCCTCCTTAGAACTGGTGAAATCTGCTGCTTTAGCCTGCATTACCCAAAATCAACCAAATTTTAAAATTTAACCTACATTTGTCCCACAAACTTGATAAAAGAAGGTCAACCTCACTAGTAAATAAAGAAATATAAGTTAAACCAAGAGGTACCATTTTTTTCCTTATCAGTTTGGAAAAGATGTAAAGAATATACCCAGTTAAAGCCAATGATGTGGGGAAGTAGGTAAATGTATACATTTTGGAGTTGAATATGCACTGGTGGATTTTCTGGGCAAATTTTCAGCAATATATATCAAAACTTAAAACATGTATCTTTAATGAGCAAAGACCACATGTATAAATTTATTTTAAGATAAAATGTTATTTTAATTTTAAAATTATTTTAATAATAATTATTTTTATATTCTTTACAATTATTTTAAGACTAGAGGCCCAATGCATGAAATTCGTGCAAGAGTAAGCCTTCCTTCCCCCGACTGCCTGCACCGACTTCCCTCTGGCACCCGGGACCTGGCCTTCCATCTAGCCACAGGCACCCAGGACCTGGGCTTCCCTCGCAGCCCCAGCTTCGTCCAGAAGATTGTCTGAAAGGACATCTGGAAGGACGTCCTGTCTAATTAGCATATTACATTTTTATTATTATAGATAATCAGACAAATCTGCATGTCCAGACTGGAGACTCAGCTTCCTGCTGTGCTGTGGATTATTTCTGTGATATCCTATAAAACCAATTGAGGGATATGGAGGTTGTGTTATAAGTAGTTACAATCTCACTGTATTATGTATTATATATAACTAGAGGCCCGGTGCATGGGATTCGTGCACTGGTGGGGGCGTGGCCTGTGGGGATTGGCCCCACTGTGGGAGCACTGCTCATCCCGGTCAGCCCAGTGGCTGTGGACCCACCCTCTGAGCGGCTGCTCCCTGGTC